GAAAATGTAGATAGCATGACAGAACCTTTGGATGTTAAGGAATATAAGATCCTCTCAACCACCCACAAGTAATGGGAATTTGCTGTAAGAATACATATTGCTTTAAAAGGGACAGGATCCTGGGGAAAACTAAGAGCCAGGTCGCCAAGAGATCCAAGCTGAATGGGCATTTGGGATCCATGGCAGCTCTAGGCCTGGGCCATGCTCCTTCCCCCTAGCAGAGTGAGTGTGTAGATCTGACTCTAGCACTCTTCAGTTCATGTGGCTCAGGGCCCTTCTCTGCTGATTGCATATTGATCCTCTCATCTCCCACCCCATGTAGCTTTCTTCTGCCTTGAGCTTTGCCTCCTTGTAGCTGCCAAGTCCTCCTAACATTGATTCTGGAAGCACCTTGTTCCCTCCAACCTGATGCCTCTCTCCATACATCCTGCTCACTTCGCCTCCCATTACCAAACTCCTGATTTTGCATCTGTATTTCCCATTTCAGATTCTACATACACAGAAACAAAGGTAAGTAATCCGATGGCACGGCTAAGGAGACACAGTTTTCATTTGGAGGACTTTATAGGATGCTAGCATCTCATGGATTAGCTGCTCACAGGACAGGCAGGGCCACCACCCTCCCCAGCGGTGTGGACGTGGTACTTTCCAAAAGAGCGCACCAGGCACCACGCTCAGGAAGCAAGGCTATGTCTTCTCGGTGCCTTGCCCCTGGGTACAAATTAGCCAGCAGTCCCAAAGTAAAAACAGATTGGATAGATATTCTTTTATAACAATATTCTACTTTACATTGTCTCAAATTCCTCCCTGCCTTTTCTTCACCCTTCATTTTAAGCCATTTCTCAGCTTTTGGCACAACCCATGCAGGGAACACATTTTCCCTTTCCTGGTTGTATTATTTACCTTTCTAAACCATTCATTCATTTACTCATCTATTTACTCAATGTCCGTTGAATACCTGCTTTGTAACTGGTGAAACACTAGGCAATGAAGACTTAAAATTCACCCATCTTCTCAATAAACATTAATTGACTACTTACAAAGTGCCAGGCATTGTGTTACTTGCTGGGAATAGAAAGATGACTAAGACACAGTCGCTGTGTGATACATAGCAAAAACTGAATAAATATTTGTTGAGGAAAGGCCAGTATTTTGACAATGACAAGCAGAGCAAAAAGGGCTATCCTGGGGAATGTCCACAGGAAGAGAAGCCAAGAGAGACAAGAAAGTTTTTCCTGCAGCGCTAATGTCTACCCTGAGACCTGCAGGGCAAGCTGAATTAGCCAAGTGAGAGGCATGAGAGGGAGCGCAAGGCCTGTAGGAAGAACAAATGGTTTGTGGGAAGCTCGCAGGTTAGGAAGGGTGTGCACTGGAGGGGCAGCCATGGGGGACAGAGAATAAATAAATCAGTGTGATTATGATTCTAGGAACTGAGATGGAAGTCTTTATGTGGGATGGCACAACTCCATTTAAATACATGGTCAAATTGTAGTTTTGGAGTTCTCCTAGGACCTTATTGTTGTCTGCATCCAATTGTCAGAGGGACATGGAGATGGTCTGGAAGGCGTATGTACCACTTCCACTCATATTCATATTCTGTTGGCAAGAGCTGGTCGTTGGGATTTTCTTAGCTGCAGAAGAGGCCAGGAGAGGTAATCTGTGTTCCCAGGAAGGAGAGATTATTGGTGGCAGCTAAAACCATGGAGAGTTTCCAGGGAGTGGCATATCCAGAGCTGGGCAGCCACTCCTGATCCAGCTCCTCTAGAGTGCCTGCTAGTGGCTGCCAGGGAAATCTGCGGGCAGACAGACGACTCAGGACCTGGAGAAACCTCCGGAGCCCAGGGCAGCACTTGTCAGGCCAAGGCAGTTTTGTGGGATGCAAGATCTTTTCTTCCAAAGTGAGGTTTGAACGTTGTGTGTTCAATCTCCAGACAGAGGTGGCTTTTGAGTAGGAGATTGTCAAGAACTATGAAGGTCCTGAACTTTTACCTGACTGGCAAGCTGACAAGTTAGCTTGTCATGGATTCATGGGTACTGATGGAGACATGTGATGCCTGTGTCATAGAAAAAGAACTTTTTAATTCAGAGCAATCACAGTGGTCAGAGTGTCATCACATTTTTTTCACCAGTTCTCCAATACCATTTCCCACAGGATGACACAAAAGAAAGAGGTGACACCTGCACGTGTAGTAAGATGTGATATAAGAGAAGAACTTTGAGTTTGGGGAACCTGCATCTTTCATAATGGGCAGTTAACAGGCCTGCTCTTTTTTCTGGAGATTGACACTGTCTTTATCTTCCAAAGCTTTAAGCAGTTTTTTCTTTTCCCTGAAGAGGGATGCTCTCTCTATTTTCAAAGGCTGTTCACTTTATAAACATCCTGGAAACGACAGTCTAGAAAAAAAGGCAGCCAGAGCCTCTGCTTGTAAAATGCACAGAAATATGAGAGACACTTGAATTTGTCTTTCAACAAAGACAGGTTCCTCTTTAGCAAGGTGGAGGGTTCTTTAGATACAAGCTTCCTTTACTAAATCCTTCTCTTGATCTCTAGATCTTCCCTATATACATTTACCTCCTGGGGGGATCTCATTCAGCCACATATCTCTGAACCCAATCAGCCTTATATCTTTAAATCCGTGCTGATAATCCCCAATTTACAATTTGCACTTTAACATTGCCCCCATTTCCAGACCTAGACCTAGATGTCAAACTGCCTATATGGCACCTTTACTTGGTTGTCTTCTTGCCATCTGAAACTTACTGTGCTCTTGATCCTCATCCTCCACATGAAACCTGATCCTTCCTCAATGTAGCCCTTCTTAATAAAAAGTATCACTCAGTTGTGCCAGCCAGAAACCTCTTTCTTTCATATTCACGTCCAATCTGTAAGGACAGCCCAATTTCAAAGTAGATCTTGAATCTGATCACCTCTCTCCTCCTGCAGCACCTTCACTCGAGTCCCAGCCACCATTGTCTCTGTGCTTAACAGCCATGTATTCCTATCTTGCCCCATTCACCTTCCAGTCTTGCCTTATACATTCTAATTTCTGCAGCAGCCAGTGTGGTTCTTCTGAAATGTAAATTAAATAATACTTTTATCTGCTTTCAACCTTCCAATGACACTCAAGGCATAGAATAAAATTCAAGGTCAAGACTACATATGATCTGACCTCTGCCCCCAAATCTGATCACCCTGTCTCCCTCCCTTCTTGTATTCCACTTGCCCTTGAAAACACCTGCCACTGGGCTGTCTCAGGCCTTCGTTCTTAGCTGTGTTGTCAAAGTCATGTAGGGCTCTCTCAGATGCCAGTTGGTCAGGGACACCCTTCCTGACTATTCTAAAGAAAACAGCACACTCCCTCGCCCCTCTTTCCTTTTATCCAGACTTATGATTCATAACCCTGGCTACTCCCTGATGTTAGGAGTCTATCTTCATTGACGGCCCTGCAGCCTAGAATATATACTGCATGGATCAAGAACTTGGTTGTGTTCACTGATGTAGCCTCTGCTTCAAAAATAATATTTGACTGAAAGTAAATACTCAAAAAGTACTTGTTGAATGAGTGGATAAATTAATGAATAATAGTTAATACTGGATTTTTTAAATGACAGTAACAGAGACACAAATAATTGGTGCCTTGATCTTTCTTCTTCAAGTTAAATAAAATAATTTTATATAAATCATCTCCCAAAATGCATATCTTCCAATTCTTCAATAATTCTGGATTGTTACTGCAGAATTCTTGCCATGTTTTTCCACATTCTTGGATATGATGGAGTTTAAAATTGATCATAATATAGATGTCTAAGAAAAGCCTAAGTAGTCTATAATTAGTTTCTCTCTTTTTTTGGTGTATTTTATTTAAAAAATTATTTTATTTTAGTTTTTATTTTTGTGGGTATATAGTAGGTGTATATATCTGTGGGGTACACGAGATGTTTTGGTACAGGCATTCAATGTGTAATAATCACATCAAGGAAAGTAGGGTACCCATCCCCTCAAACATTTATCCTTTGTGTTACAAAAACCCATTTATACTCTTTTAGTTATTTTTTAATGTACTGTTAAATTATGGTTGACCATAGTCAATTTCCCTCTGTTTACAGGTTTTGCATGCTTACCTAGGAATGCTCCTTGAAAAGATAATCTCCTCGAACATAAAAGCCCAGCCACAAAAAAGTCTCTCTAAGGTCAGCAGTTTCGAGAGTGACGAAGTGAGAATTTGATTCTTATCTGTTCACGGACTCTACAAATCCCAAAATGTCTTCCTGAAGAACCCACTGGGGGAAAAATACAAACAACTTCATGAATTTAGCCATTGATCATATGTATTTTGAATTGTCACTCTTTCACTCAACAAATAAATGTCTCCCATGTGCCAAATCATGAGCTAAAAGTTGGAACAGCACATTGCAAAGAGAACTGGTTCCCTAGCCTGAGGGTTTCAGAATCTTGGGCACCGCCGTTTCTGTTTTCATTGTTGTCCTTGTTTTGAGACATTCTTATTTTTATTTTCTTTGCTTTTTATATGTTGTGGTTATTTCCAATACCTTTTTTAAGAATTTTTTACTTATAAAAATATATTTCATTTAATTTGAAAAATAAGGAAACAGCGCTTTGCTCTCCCTAGCCTGCTTTCTCATTTACTGTAAGACAATGATTTTTCTTTTTCAGGGTTTATTTCCATTCTTTGCAAAGGATTTAACAATGAAATACAAAAATCTCAGGTATTTTCATTTAGCTCATTTTTTACTTTTCTTACATATAGGCTATATGTTTTATTTAATATCTTTACTATTTACATTAAATTAAAATTATTTTAGAAATGACTATATTTCAATTGCTGTTTTGACATTTCATTGATCAATATTTCCCTAAAGATATTAACTTTCTCTAGGATACAGAGAGACTAACAGAACTTACACAAAAATTTCTACTGAATGAATTTCCCCACCTTCTCGGTGATTGTACACCTGCCTTCCTTATAAGGAGAACAAGGAAGTAAATCATGTTGAAGTTGCTTTTAAACACAGCTTTTCTGCTTTACCTGTCCAGGTAGCCTCTGTTTTTATTTCAGTCTTAATGAAAACTCTCTAACTCACATCTCAAGTTTCTTTTCAAAGCAGTGTAAGTAGTATTTAAAATGTTGTACTTCAAGAAAGAAAGACTTTAACGATATTCAGCTTTGGTCTTGAAACACTGAAGGTAATTCATTTTTTAATCGGTCTGCACAGCAAGAACTGAAACGAATGGGGATTGAACTGCTTTGCCTGTTCTTTCTATTTCTAGGAAGGAATGATCACGTACAAGGTAAGACCAATGTTCTCCGATATATTGCTTTCATGGTATGCTTGACAAACCTGTCATTTGGTTCAGAAAGTAGATCTGAAGTCATTTTTTATTTGATCTATTCCATTGCTCTTTTGTCACTGAGTGAACACTTTAACAAATTACAGGCAAACACCAGGCAGTTCCCATAGCGAATGCTGTAGGCTTAAGGTAAATAAATACAAAGGTTGCACAGGCATTTTAAAGAGGAGAATTAAATAGCATTACTGCCCTATTGGAATTAGTGCCATTGTAATAACCATTTCTGAAACTTTTCTATTTTATTCTACCACAAGATCTTCCACTTAAGAATAATAATCTTGACAGAGGAAAAGGACTTATTTCAAAAACAGAAATACCTCATTTAAGAGAGAAGCATTTTTTAATGGATGCAAGTAATTTTTGAAAATTAAAGTGGCACATATAGGATAATCCTATATTTGTGAACTTCCACATTTTAAGAAAAAAGAGGATGATAATTTTGGCTTGAAAGACATACACACTTTTTAATATATGTACACATATTTTACATGTGATAGATGTAAAATACAAACTTTTGTGTGACTTGCTAACATTTCGAGGAATGATCTTGGATACTAAAATTAACTTTGATGTTGTTTTGTTCAAGTAATGTAAGAGCCATCAGTCTGATAAATGGAATGACTGAAAGTGTACTTAATTCCTGCATCTTGCTGGGTCTAAACCTAGGTGGCTGTGCCCTGGGAGGTGCAGAAACCTGTGAAGACTGCCTGCTCATTGGACCTCAGTGTGCCTGGTGTGCTCAGGAGGTAAAACGAATGATCTCAACGTGTTTTTAAAACTTGTCTGCAGTTACACTCATGTTAATTTCTTAAGCTATAGTTCTGATTGTGGCTTGCTTTTTGTGCAATTACATGAGTAAAACAAATCAGGAAAGGAGAAGGTGCGCATTGGTGGATCAAAATGGCATTCATGTGATTACTTTCAAAAACAATTTATAGAAGGAGTGGATGTCAAATTATTCTGAAAAAATACTTAACTTGGGATTTTTTATTTTACCTGGTTCCTTCTCTTATTGTAAAGCCATTTCTAACTGGTTACATGTAAAATATGGAGGTTGTCTGGATAATGAGAGACCATGGAGATGATATTTTCTAAAGATAAACATACATTTGATGTTCATATTATAGCTGTATTCCATCTGGTACCAGGATCCATTCTGAACTACTACTAGCTTCTAAGGCGTGTGTTCTAGGTTTGGGGCAAATATTCCTGGTCAGACATTATCCAGATCTTTTAAAAATTAAATTTTCATAAATTCAGTGACTCTGTACCACACCAGTGAAAAAGTCCCAAATAGGCACTCCTTATCTGGTCAAACTGAAAACTATGTGAAGGCAGTATGAAGATGACTGGGGACTATGGAGCAAACCATGCTAAGACACTAGAGAGTGATGTCTAATTGATTCATGGTGAGAAAGACAGGCATTAGCTCTCTGAATTTTAAAACAAGTCTCTACCCACTGGATCTCGTAAAGATAATCTAAACATAAATCTAATCATGTGAACGCCAAGATCAGCGAGAGCTGAGTGGCATGCTCAAAGAGAAACAGACCTCGACACCAAACTCAGAACTGGGCTCTACCTGTAGAAACCCAAATTCCGAGTTCAGTGTATATCCATGAAGGGTGGCCTCACAGACAAGAGAGCACAAATACAGCTCACTCCCCTACCACGGCCTTGACAGATGCAGCCACAAACAAAAGTCCAAGAGAATTATGCTGTTTTTGAGTTCCTGTATCAAAGCAGGATTGAAAATATAAAAGGAAAATCTATGAATCTCACTGTTTCAAGGATCTGGTCATGGCCTGGGAAGAAGCTTTAAAGAAGTGAGCTTAAGACACACGCACGCACGCACACACACACACACACACACAACTGTTACGTGAATTCAATTGAATATAATTAAAAGGAGATGCCAGTTTTACTCAGAATTTTACTGGCAGAATTCTCTGGTTATTCACCTATAACTTAACTTTAGACCTATAATCAATGTTAGTCATGTAGGGATACAACATGGCAAGATGCTTAACTAGCAAAGTATGCAGAAAAACTTTCAATTGCTGGTATCTTACAAGAAATTCAGATTTGTTTTCTTTTTCTAGTTATTGTTTTTCTTTTTTCTTTTTTAGAATTTTACCCATCCATCTGGAGTTGGCGAAAGGTGTGATACCCCAGCAAATCTATTAGCTAAAGGATGTCAGTTAAACTTCATCGAAAACCCTGTCTCCCAAGTAGAAATACTTAAAAATAAGCCTCTCAGTGTAGGCACACAGAAAAATAGTTCTGACATTGTTCAGATTGCGCCTCAAAGCTTGATCCTTAAGTTGAGACCAGGTATGTTAGGATTTGGCTCATGTAAATAGATCTACTGTCATATATGGTAATTCTTCTGCTCCACTAATGTGTCTTGTATTGTATTACATATCACTGATTATTATGCCTCAAATTTCCCTTTCTTTAGGAAATAGAAAATTGCTAGGCTCACACTTTTCATTATTCACATTGGTCTCTGGCACTCCAAATGTGTTACTAAAGAAGACTTCTCTAATAGTAACCATTTAAATTACTCAAATGTTGTTAAGGCTTACCTCACATTTCTTCAAGGGTTGTAATGTAGATTTAAACTCTCTTTTATTTGATTCCTCTTTTCTAAAACGACGCACAAAAAATTCAGCTTATCTTCTATCTAAATGGATGCTAGTTCTCCCAAGGAGATATAAAATATCCTAACTTATCCTCCAGTAGTTCTAAACTCCCTGCTGAAAAAGTTTCATGAGTTGGTTCATTTAGGATCTTGACTTTCAGTAAGTTCTTACTGAGGCGTAATAGGCAGCTGACCCAGCAACCGGCCAGTTGCAAATGAATCTCAGTGTGTTTTTCTGAGTTTGCTTTTCCTGTTGGGCTTTGCAGGTGGTGTGCAGACTCTGCAAGTGCATGTCCGCCAGACCGAGGACTATCCGGTGGATTTGTATTACCTCATGGACCTCTCCGCCTCCATGGATGATGACCTCCACACAATCAAGGAGCTGGGCTCCCGGCTTTCCAAGGAGATGTCTAAATTAACCAGCAACTTTAGACTGGGCTTCGGATCATTTGTGGAAAAACCTGTATCCCCTTTTGTGAAAACAACACCAGACGAAATTGCCAACCCTTGCAGGTAAGTAAATGATTCTCTTGGCATCTTCGTGCACTGATTTTTTGTGGAGATACCCTGGCTCTGAGCTGCACTTGCCAGGAGCTTGCTAACTCCCTGGCATTTCTGCCTCGTCTGGTTGGATCTCAGCAGTTCTCTCCAGTGCCTAGGTTGCTTAGAGTGGAGGGGAGGTCATCTGAACTACATGGTTCTAGCCATGGGTTCTTGCAGCCTCTGCATCTGCCTCCCAGTGTCGGGCAGGATGTAGCAAACCAGAATGTGTGTTATGCAGAAAAGGGGACAAAGGCTTTCACCGTAGGCTCCACTGGATGGTACCTCGCCCAGTCTCTCACACTTTCTAGTCTCAGTGGCCACCACTTTCTGAGGTTATTGGAGAATAACCTTCACTTTCCCCGAATGTTTTTCCACAACAATGACTTCTGGCAAAATAATAATTTTTGCAACTTTCTCTGATGTACTTTGGGAAATACTCGTTTCTCCTATTGCTTGGAGAAGGCCTGGGAAGCCTTCACAGACATTAAATTCAGTAGTAAATGACTTCATAGGCAATGGCTCCATTCTAATATAATAAGCTATGAAAGTCACATATTATGCAGGTGATAGTGGAGGACAAATTGCTTTGTGATGGCTTACCTGTTAAGTGAATGGCATGTTCAGAAACAAATTATTTAATATTCTCCTATTGAAAAAGAGCTACTATATGCTCTGTGCCAGACCTTGTGCTGAAGGTTTTACACACATGACCTCATTCAGTCTTCATAACGGCAGGTTAAAACTTAATAACACCAGCCCTATACTCAGAAGAAATAAGAGGCTCTGAGAGATTAGCTATTTGCCCAAGGCCACATGACTAACCCATGATCTGTACCAATATTCAATTTGTCCCAAAAGCAAGCCCATTACTACTATACATCTAATATATATGAAATAATTTTCCAAATGTTTATTGACATAATACTTTTATATACCAAAAGCATCAATCTCTATAAAAGATAAATAGCTTTTATTATACCATTTTTAAAAATCTCAATGTAGCCCCCAACTACAATCTAACAAAATCAAAAATAATTTAACCATAAAAGGAACTTATCAATGATTGTAACACTTAAAAATTGTGTTTTGTTTTAAATATCTGTGATGGTGGCTTAAAAAGGGAGGTTTGTTTGTTTGTTCGTTTGTTTGTTTTTGAGATGGAGTTTCACTCTGTCACCCAGGCTGGAGTGCAGTGGCATGATCTCAGCTCACTGCAATTTCTGCGTCCTGGGTTCGAGCAATTCTCCTGCATCAGCCTCCTGAGTAACTGAGATTACAAGTGCCCGCCACCACGCCAGGCTAATTTTTGTAGTTTTAGTAGTGACTGGGTTTCGCTATGTTGGCAAGGCTCTTCTCAAACTCCTGACCTCAAGTGATCCACCTGCCTCGGCCTCCCAAAGTGCTGGGATTACAGGCATGAGCCACTGTGCCCAGCCAATATTTTCTTCTCTTTTTTTTATATAAGGACCAGAGGAAGGCCATTCAGGGCTATATGGCAGATTCATAAACATGAGGAATCCAGGCCTTTTTCTGCTCTCTGCTTCACCATTATTGACACTTGGATTTTATCTTCATGGTCCAAGAATGGTATCGGGGCACTAATCATCACTTCTTCATTTCAGTCAGGAGGAAAGGAGGAAAATAGGAGCCATAAAGACTGTCTGCCCACTCCCCCACAATTCCTTGTGAGGTATAGTTGACATGCCTAAAATGCACAGATGGAAAATGTTTAGTTTGATGTGTTTTGATGGTTAAATATACCATTGCAATCAGTATCCAAAACATGGTGTAGAATATTTCCATCACTTCAGAAATTTCCCATTACACTCAGTTCTACCACTTCAGAGGCAACCACTTTCTGATGTCTGTAATTTATACTGGTTTTGCCTATTCCTGAATTTTATATAAATATGTAACGTAATATATGCCCTCTGTGTTTGGCTTCTTTGGTTCAACATAATGTTTTCAACCTATGATTTTGTATCAGGAGTTTGCTTTTTTTGTTTCAGTTAATAACTCATTGTATTTATTTACTATATTTTGTTTATTCATTCTTTCATTGGAGGACATTTGGGTTGTTTCTATTTTAGGGGGCTATTATGAAAAGGCTGCTGTGAGCACTTGCACTGAAGTCTTTGCATGGATGTATGCTTTTACTGCTCTTCAATAGACACCTAAACTGGAATTGCTGAACTGTATGATACTTCTAATTTTCAAAGAAACTACCAAATTGTTTTCCAAAGTGAATGTACCACTTTGCATTTCCATCAGCAGTGTGAAAAGGTTCCAGATATTCTACATCCTTACTGACACTTGATGTTGTCAGTTTTTTAAATTTTAGACATTCCAATAGGTGTGCAGTAGTATCTCATTGTAACCTTAATTTGCATCTCCTTAACGATGAATGATGTTGAGCACCTTTTCCTGTGTTCATTTGCCATTCCTATTTATTTTGTGAAGCTTCTTTGGAAATCTAAGATTAGACTATCTTTCCAACATTGTGTGGTAAGAGTACTTTATATATGCTGGATACAAGCTTTTTGTCAAATGTATTTTGCCAAAAAATATATATATTTGTCAAAAATATTCTCTCCCAGTTTAGGGCTTGTATTTTAATTTTTCTGAAAATGCCTTTGGTCAAGCAAAAGTTTTTAATTTTGATGAAGTCCAGATTATCAATTTTTCATTTTATAGTGTTTTTTTATGTTCTAATAAATTTTTGCTTACTGTAAAGGTCACAAAGCCTCCTCCTATATTTTCTTCTAGAAGCTTTGCAGTTAATGTGATTACATTTAGGCTTCTGATCTCAAATTAGTTTTTGTATTTGGGATGAGAAAAAAAGGTCTAGGTTGATTTTTTTGTTTCCATAGAGATATCTAGTTTTTCAAGCACTATTTGTTAGACAAGATACTCCTTTCCACATTGAGTTATCTTAATGTCTTTGTTGACAAGCAATTGACCATATATGTGTGAGTCTAATTCTGGACACTATTCTGTTTCACTGATCCATTGAATATAACCATGTAACCACTAATGCCTCACTACCTCCCTTACTGTAGCTTTATAGACAGTCTTGAAATCAGGAGCATAAGTCCTCCAACTTTGTTTTTTCATTTTGTTTATCCTAGATCCTTGAAATTTCCACATAAATTTCAGAATCAACTTGTCAATTTCTTCAAAAAATATGCTGAGATTTTTATTGAGACAACATTGAAACCACAGATCAATTTGTGGATATATTGAAAATCTGACATGTATTCAATTTTCCAATCATTTTACATGACATATATCTTCATTCATTCAGATCTTGTTTAATTTCTCAGCACAATGTTCTGTCATTTTCAGGGTAGATATCTTGCACATGTTTTCTTTTACTTATTTCTAGGGACATTTAAAATTTTTTATTTTCAAATTCCTTTTGGATAACATGTAGAAATACAATTGATTTTACATACTCACTTTGCATCCTGAAAACTTTATATTAATTTTCTCTTTAGTTCTAGTGTGATTTTTATAGATTCCTTAGCATTTTCTGTGTATATGATCATGTCATCTGTGAATAACAACTTCTTTTTCTCCAATGTCTATGCTTTCTCTTTATTATTTCTGACCTTATTGCATTGGCTTGGATCTCTAGTACTCTTTTAAATAGATGTAGTAGGAGAGGACAACCTAGTCATCTTCATGATCTTAGAGAGAAAGGATCAGTGTTTCACCATATGTTGTTAGCTAGTGGTTTTTTATTTCCTTTCATCAGATCAAGGAAATTATCTTCTATTCCTTGCTTGGTAGGTTGTTTTTTTTTAAATTACAAATGGTTGTTAAATTTTATTTCCCAACTTAGGGGTTTTTGCCAGAAATTTTACTCAATACCTTAGACTTGTATCCAATTGGCTGGCACTTAGTTACATGACCAGTTAACTATAAAGGAAGCACATTGCTACCTGCCCCTCCAAGATCAGCATTTTGTCATGAGGGAAGAGAAAAAAAGGTGGCATCTAAGATCAGTTCCTGCAATGCTGAATACATAGATTTCTATACAGAGTTATAAAGACCTGTACCCTCAAAAATGCTGTAGAACAAAAAGTAAGGTATGATTATTGTTATTAATTGCTTATTTCACTTGTAAAGGGAAATAAGCTTGGTGCTAACAACCTCTTAAACACCTATCATAAAAACATGGCTAATGCTTTTGGTCCCTTTTATAAAATCAGAGAATATTCTACCTGAATACTATTTGTATTTAGTTCTTCGGTATACTGTGTGTCTTTCCCCTACAATAAGCTTCCATAGAGAGTTTAGTAGGGTAATTTCATCCAGAATTACAAAGTGCCACCTCTGCCCCAGGGGGTATATTTAAAATCATTCCTCATGTCACAGATCGGGAAAGAAGTAGCAACATGTTGTACAATAATAATCAGGGGAACCAATGAGTGTGCAATGTTACCAGAGAAAACGAAAATTAACAATGTTGAATGGCTCAGCTAAATTGGCAGACCAGCATCTTAAACTAACAATGAGATCTTGTCCTTAGTCAGGCTTCCAGTAAATGGAAGCAGTTTGGCTGATTTATTTAGCTCTGACTGTATCTTATTCATGCATTTATTTATTCATTCATTTGTTCAACAAAAACTTACTGAGTTCCAATTATGTACCAAGCAATGTGCTAGGCAGGATGATATTTGGAAGAAAAGACCTGGTCCCAGTTCTCAAGTAGCTGAAATCCTTTGGGGAAGCAGGTACATAGTACTGCAGGGTGATTAAGCACAAGGGCTTCAGAGTGAGCCCTGGATTCGGTCTTGATTCATATATTCACTCATAATGTGACCTTAGGCGAATCATTTCATCTCTCAAGTCTTCAATGTTTTCCTCTGTAAGTCTGGAATAACAATACCAATTACAAAGAGTGGTTTTAAGAATTGAATGAGTTAACAAATGAAAGCATTTGGCATTGTGCTTGACCATGGTAC